TAGTGAGGACACTTCTCATGGGATTCGGGGCACACCCAAGTGATCCGGGGTGACCTCATGTCGAGTTCCTAAATTTAATTACACCAGCAAAGACCCTGTTTGCACGTTCACCGGTGCCGGGTGAACATGCTTTTGGAGAGGCCCCCAGTCAAAACCAAAGCGGCATGGTGTAGAATGGGCAGGGACTTTCTTGTGGGCGAGGCTTCCGCTTCCTTTGATCCAGTGATCTGAAGGCTGTGAGGACCAATGGGTTCTCTTCACGAGAAGGCAGGGGACACTCCGTGATGGTCCAGCTTTTACCATGCACCCTGAACCACAAAATGTATTTTAATTCGCCCCAGGCCCACTCATTGCAGGCTTGCTTGGGTGTAGGACTTACCTCCCGGGTGTGCAGTCATGACCTTCAAAGGTGGGCAGTGTGTCCTGCCGTCTGTTCCCTGCCTTTTTCCGCAGGAGAGAGTCTGAGCATCTCCCATGGACGTTCTGAGGGGTCTGGAGAGTAGATCGTGAGTCAAACTTCAGTGTAAAGTGGCAGGTAAACTGCCAGCAAAATACTCTGATTTCTCTTGGGTACCAGCCCCCTTGGGAGAGGAGGAATGCTTCTAATCCCACAAAAGATCATAACTTGTTTTTCCTCGTGAAGGTAATCGCAGGGAGAGTATCACAGGCAGGCCTCCCTCCCAGCCTGGACTCTCAGCATAAAAACCAGCTCACCATATGCTCTGCTCGGCAGAAGCATCCACTCTGTGCGTGACATGTCCATGGGGACCCGAGACCGTGGGTTCCTGTGGCATCACTGGGGGGAGGGTATAGCTCAGTAGTAGAGCGTATGACTAGCGTGCATGAAGTCCTGGGTTCAATCCCCAGTGCCTCCATTAAAAGCAAATTAGTAAATAAAGCTAAAAAATGGCATCACTGTTGACAAGTGAGGTACCCCTCACCAGGACAGGTGCACCTGCTATTTTATGGGGGAGCTAAAGTTTCAGGCACTCAGTTTTGGGTCAGTGGCCCCTCTGACCTTCCTGGAGAGGCTCTGGTTCCCACCTGAGGGGTGTCTGGAGCTGAGCTCTGCGTCTGAGCTGGAGGTGCAAGAGAGGACGCCTTGGACCTGGATGGGAACTAGAGGTGTTCATGCTTCTGTTCCCAGAGCCTGGTGCCGGACACACCCTAAGACCCCGGGCAGCTTTGTTGAACGAGCAGCTGGATACGGGACCACAGGGACCCAACTATCCAGGGGAATCAGGGGAAATCTGGAACATGGCAGGAGGATGGAATCCAGGCCCCCCATACTTTCCTGGAGTTGGGTGAGGAGCAGGGCAGGGACTGGACCCCGGAGAAAGGAGTGGGAAGCAGGCCCTGAGCACATGACCACCAGCTGAGGCAGCCCCTGGCTGTGATGTCACCCGTGATTCCATCTCCAGAGGGTTGGGGGCCTGGAAGACCCTAGGCTGGGCGAATGATTTATTATATTCACTTCCATTAGCCTGATGGTACCTGGGTGGCTGTCACAGCCTTACAGTGACCTGGCCCAGGGGGAGGGCCACCTATGAGACCATGAGAGAGGGAGGGCCCCCAACTGTGTCACAGACCCCATCCCAGCACAGTCCACCCCAGAACTGTGAGTTAATGCTGGGTTCTTACCTGGAGCCCAGCAACAGCTGGAGGCCAGGATGCCTTCACTCTCATCCCAGTGGGGGATTGGGCTGTGACTCCTGGCAGCGTGCTTTCTGTCACCTGCCTGATTTGGGGGGGGTCCCCACTCGGGCTTGGAAGACGAGCGTTCACCTCGTCTGTGATGGGAGGTCAGCCTGGTGAGCGGAAGGCGCTGGATGTGGGTGGATGGGCCAGGAGTCAGCCAGGCCGGGTGGCGGGAGCATCTTGGGGGCTCCGAGCTGTCAGTGGTACGTGCACCACTGTGTTTTATAACAGGGTGCTTAGCGGATTAGGGAAGGTGGTCTTAGATATTGCGCACCAAGCGAAAGCTTCCTGGTTCAGCAGTAATATATGGGACAATGCCGTTAGAAGGTGTTTTAGAAGAATGTCTCACTGGATCCTTTGATTAATTTTTTTAAATTTCTACTTTTTTGGAGGGGAAATAATTAGGTTTATTTATTTAAAAAATTATTAAATGTCTACTTTTTGGGGGGAGTAATTTTATTTATTTTTTAATTAAACTTTTTAAAATTTTACTTAAAAATAATTTCCATATATATACTGTTCATTGTTTCTAAGAACAGTTTAGAGCTTTAGCTTTATAAACTTACATAGTATCAAAGGAATAAAGCCAACCACAAAATAAGAATCAAGAGAATGCAG